GACCTGCTGGGCTCCAGCGATCCTTCCGCCTCAGCCTTCTAAGTAACTGGAACTACAGGCGTGTGCTACCACACTCAGCTAATTTTTTGATTTATTGTAGAGATGAGGTCTCGCCAAGTTTCCCAGGTGGGTCTCAAACCCGTGGGCTCAGGCAATCCACTCACCTCAGCCTCCCAAAGTGCTAGGATTACAGGCTGAGCCACCGAGCCCGGCTTAGTTTTTTTATTTATTGTAGGGACGAGGTCTCACCAAGTTGCCCAGGCTGGTCTCAAACCTGTGAACTCGGGCAATCCTCTCACCTCAGCCTCCCAAAGTGTTGGGATTACAGGCCTGAGCCACTACACCCAGCCTATAGTGGTTTCTAAAGAGAAACCTCCACACCTCCACTTGTCTAACCTGCCTTGAACTTGTCTGCCTGAGATTGCCTTTCCCACACTGAGTTCAGGCTATAACTCCTCGGTGCCCACACTGCTCTCGGGGTCTATCTAAACCCCCCTAACCTGGAATTCCAGACCCTGGGAGAGCCAGACCAGACCCTTGACCTCCAGCCTTCGCCACAACCTGGCCCCGGTTCCTCTCTCCCCGTCCTGAGCTAAAATTGTAGCCTCACTATCTACCATGGGTGCGGCTTACTCAGACTGTAAAAATGGGGGTAATGATTTTTACTGGTTGTCGAGATGATAAAGTGCAAAAGAACCAGGGACTTTGCACCTACCATTTTCTTTCTTTCCTTTTTTTTTTTTTTGCAGTAGCACAATTACAGCTCACCACACCTCCTGCATCAGCCTCCTGATTACAGGTGTGAGCCACCACACCTGGCTAATCTTTTAAAAAAAATTTTAGCCAGGCCAGGCTCGGTGGCTCAGCCTGTAATCCCACGCCTTTGGGAGGCTGAGGTGAGTGGATTGACTGAGCCCGTGGGTTCGAGACCCGCCTAGGCAGTGAGACCTCATCTCTACAATAAATAAAAAAACTAGCCGGGCGTGGTAGCGCACGCCTGTAGTTCCGACTACTCGGAAGGCTGAGGCAGAAGGATCGCCGGGTCCCAGCAGGTGGAGGCTGCGGTGGCCGGGAGTGGCCACTGCACTACAGTCTGGGCGACTGAGTGAGACTCCAACTCAAAAAAAAAATTTTTAGCCAGGATCGGTGGCTCAGCCTGTAATCCCGTGCCTTTGTGAGGCTGAGGTGAGTGGATTGCCTGAGCACGCGGGTTCGAGACCCACCTGGGCAACTTGGCGAGACCTCATCTCTACAATAAAATTAAAAAATTAGCCTGGCGTGATAGCGCACGCCTGTAGTTCCAGCTACTTGGAAGGCTGAGGCGGAAGGATCACCAGAGCCACAGCAGGTCAAGGCTGCGGTGGCTGGGAGCGGCCACTGCACTCCAGTTTGGGTGACAGAG